GTGTCTCCCACCGACTGTGCGGGGGGCACTGGGAACACGGCACCGGTGCGGATCCAGGGAGGAGGTTTTATTTAATCTTAGGAAACAAAGCAAGGATTTTTGGAGGGGATTGTTGCTTTTAAACGCTTTTTTTTCCCCCTCTTTTTTCCTCATAACAAAACCCTACTAGGGTATAACCCCCTCACCAGAGAAGTTCTGCTTCCAGCTTCCTTTTCTGTGCAGTTTTATTGCTGCACAGTGAAACAATTGCCCGCGAGTGTCCATATTCCATTAGGCATACGGAAAAGTATTCGACCCTTTGTTTTCAGTGGAATGAATGCGTTTGGCACATAAATATTAATTTAGGCTAGTCATGGGACATTAGTGCTGCTTAATTGTCCCCATTTTTCTGGGTTTTGGGTAAGCAGTGGCGGTTGTGCCTCCTTTAAGTGTTGCGTCCATGACGGGTGGTGTGTGGCCGATGCGCGACGCCTCATCTCCGTCACACAGGGCACTGCCTGTCGTCACCCGCCTGCAGGGCAGAGGGGTCGTGAAGGTGGCACCATTGGGGCACCAGCTGTGATCTCTGWCTGCTGGTTTGGTGCTGCAGGAGCATCGGGGAACCTGGAGCCAGATTTGGGACATTAGATGCTCCTTGGGSCAGGGCTGTTCCTAAGAACGCAGGGCATTTCTTTCCCCCAGTGCAAGGACAAGTGGGGAGTGACCAGCCCCTAGGAAACCACCAAAAACTCTTCAGGGTCTGCTGGTCRCAGCAAACGTTGGGCACCCTGTGCCAGCAGGTCAGTGAGACCCACATGTAATGGTGTTTGGACACCCCATTCCCTTAGCCTATTTGAAAACCAGAATCCCAGATTCTTTATGAAGATATATGGCCAGGTGTAATCCCTTGTCCTGCTCATGTCAGTGAGATCTTTTACATTGTTGGCTTCAGCAAAGGTGAGAAATCATCCCCAGATACTGGGGCAGTTTTCTGGTGCCATCTGCAGCACTCAGGGAGAGAGTGAAGATGTTTCTACAGGTAGCAAGGGGCAGTGGTCCCTTTTTTTTAAGCTTTCTTTAAGGACTCGGGGTTCCCACTTAATGGGTTAATAATAAGCAATAAGATTCTTGCTTATTAACTGACTTGAGGTTTAGGAGCTCGAGTGGAGCATRAGGCTTGGGGGTAAGAGAGGGCCTGGCATACGACACAGGGCCTGGGGAAGAAATCCAAAGATTAGGGATCGCAGTGATGGCAGAGACGGGCTCGTTTTGGCCTGTCTTCCAAGTAAAGCATTGTATAATCTCTAATGAAAGGACATGGCTTGGGCTTGGTCTGTGGCTTTGTAAGGGGATTAATTGGCTTCCCCAATAACCGGCTGCTCTCACCGCTTGTCCTACAGCGGCTCTGGCACCACCAGGAGCATTGCATGAACCTGTTCAACTCCCTATCCCAGAGAATATCCCACTGTGGGACGTGGGCCGAGGGGCTCTGCCTCCCTGGCAGGGTGCTGAGAGCCCGGGCAGCGTCTCCTGCTGCTGCTGCGGTTCCTCTCTCCATGGTCACCCTCACCGCATCATTAAGCCTCTCATATCCCCGTTGTCCAGTTGCAGGAGACGAGGGGACTGTGCTTTGCTAGAACTGTGCACGTACAGTAGAGATGGTTCCTGCCCAGGAGTGTGGACAAGAGCCAGACCTGAGGGAGATTATTGCTGTTCYGGTTTGCAAGGGCAGACGTGCAGCAGTGAGAGGCTTTAGGTAGAGCTGTGAGGAGCCAGCAGCAGGAACTAGCTCTCCAACTTGGTCTCTACGCAGAGGGCCAGCCTCGTGCTGCAATACCGTCTGCATTCCCAGCTGCCGTGCGTCTGGCCTGAATTCTTGATCTTTTCCCAATGTTACCTTTTTGGCCAGGGTGGAGCTTTCCTGTTCTCAGGGACTCTGGCGTTTCAGCCCAATTTAGCTTTGAGAAAATGAAGAGCAAACTCTTCATATTGTTATGTGTGTTTTGGATGTCGGCCCCACAGCTAGGTGGGCAGAGCCTCCGAAGGCTCGTAAACCCAGGACTACGTAGCTTCGAGCCTGCTTCAAAGAAGTTCACAACCCTTTGGGGAGAAGCTGTGAGTACTGATGAAAGAGGGAACTTATTGTATATGTTAGAAAACTTCTTTCATGGCTTATGTATTAAGGCCAGCTCTGTGGCCCAGGGAAGATTGGGGCTGCTTTTAATTTACATCCCTTCCCCACTTATATTAGGTCTTCGTCAGAAGAAAAATTAGTCAAATGTTTTCTTAATGACATCATTTTATTTTTTTTAATCCTGTTTCATTTTTTCCAGATGAGGCGGTGGAGATTATTAGAAATGAATTGAAGCTAAATCTGGAAACAGAGGCTTTGATTCACTTCGCCCTCCTCCCAGTAGAAACACATCGGTCGACTCGGTTCTCGGGCGCCTTTATTAGCAGCCTCCACAGGATGCAGCCTCCGCGAGGCCGCCAGGGCACGAGGCCRGGCGCTCCTGGAAAGCACCACAGGCTGCCCCGTAATTTTGGTAACCAAATGACATAGTAACGTGGGCAGGGAGGTAACGGGGTTGGAARTAGCATTGCAGTCCTAAGTTCGTCTTTCAGGGTCATGGAGGAAAAGGGGCCCAATTCTCTGGGTGTTAAAACCTGTGACACTCGGGCCTCAAGCTGCTTAATGTGTGTGTATAGGGGACTGCCTAGCTCTCTAAGTTGCTTACTGATCGTTACATGTGATAGGTTTTCACTGCCTTGTATTTTACACCAGTGAGCCACAGGGTGTATTGCTACAGGAAAGTTCTTTGAACTATAAATATTTTAAAAGACATTTAATTTACTACCCATCAGCAGAAAGTGTTCAGAAAGCCACAAGGTTTACTAATTTATCAGAAAGACGAGAAACACACAGGAGATCAAACAAAGACAAACACGCTCATAAAGTGCTGAATAAGTCCGGAAAGCTTATGTTACATTTCTGTGTGGTTTTGTTGATATGCACGTGTTATAAATAAATTAAAATGCACCTGAGCTGTTGATAACATGGGCTGGGGCCTGGATCTCGAGGCTCGGGCGGCGTGTCTAAACTGCTCAGACTCTGGTGTTCGTGGTTAGCTGTGGAAGAGAGGCGGATCATACGCGTGGATGTTCATGGTATTTTGGGATATCCTTCAGGAAGAACCTCCGTGGCACCATCCATTACATGGGCTGCGTCTGCCGGGCACAGTCCCGTGGGGCCCRCGTCCCACCTCTCGGCTTCCCCGTAGCACAGGGCAAGGGACCAACCCTGTCCGTGGCGTGACTTGTGTTTCTGCCCCAACTCCATTCCCACTGATACAGAAGCAAAAAGAGATCTAATTCAGTCTTGAGTTCTTTTCTTGCACCCTCCGTGTTTTGTCTCAGAAGGTTGGTGGATATGGCAATATACATGTGTGGGAGAGCTCTTCCATGCTTGATCCCCGTGACTAAATGGCTTTGGTGCTGAAGGGCAACCCAGTTTTGTTTTTTAGGTTATCTGCTGAATCCCACGGCCTTCACTGACGTCTTTCTCAGGTAGCGCTTGGCTTGAGGAAGGTGTGAGGCATTTAGCAGAGGTGCCCCCAGCAAGCCTGCARTAAAACCCCTCCTAACTTTTGCCCTTTGAACCGCATGGCTGACCTGTCAAGTAGGTTTAGAAAAGCCGTGGCTGATGTAGCAGGGGTGGGTTATGGGCTGGAGGGGAAGCCCAAGGCCCTGACTCTGGATGGTGCAGAGGAAGGGAGGTGGTTGGGACCGGCTCCATGGGCCTTCAGTGTTCCATGGGGCCTGATCCGCCCCAGGCACAGAGCTGTTGGCTGAGGCGGGAAGCTTCCTGCTGGAAGCAGGGAAAGAGAACGGTGCTAGGGATTGCATTGAAATGCCTGTTATGTGCAGCTCAGCCTGGAGCTCACTGAGGTCTAGGCCATATAAATGCTACCTGTGCCCTTTGCATCCTTCCTTACACAGATGTCCCAAAGTGGAGGCTCTGTCCCCATGGGAGGACTGAAGGTCTGGACAGCCAGCAGCAGCAAGGGGGCTGCAAACAGCTGAGTTGAGCCTCTTTGTCAACTCAGCCTCCCTGYGAAGAAAAGGGGGCTCGGTGGATCGCACAGGACGTTCTCCACACAGCCAGCATGTGCACGTGCTGTTCCTTGCCTGGGTGCCACCTGGGTGCCTTTTAAACACAGCCCAGGTGGGGTGAGCTGCTTTGCACAGAGCGTGCTAGGGGGGCAGTTTCACAGGAAGCTTACGCTGCTTTCAGAGGCCTGAAAGGGCAGTTTGTGCCGCTGCCGCCTACCTCTGCAGCCACGTGCTTCAGCCTCCCCYATCTGCTGGCAGGAGAAGAGCTGTCAGCCTGGCCAGCTCGCAGGGCAGCTGACCCTGCAGCCGCACTAGTGCGGTGCCAGCAAAAGGGATGGACGTGTGACGGGCACTGGGCGGCCCTCTTGGCACCACCGAACCCGTAGACCGGCCCGGCCACATCTGGGAGTCACCTGCATGGCCCCAGGGAGCATCTGCCCTTCCCGTGTGCTCCCTCTGCTCACTGTGACTTTGGGATTTGGGCCAGCTCTGGGCTTGCAGTCATCTCCTGGCTCTGCCAAGTGGCCCTGAGCTTGGAGAAGGGATGTGCTGTCTGCCTCAGCAGGGAGCCCACACCGCTGCCGAGCTCCTGTGCTCGGGGCACGTGAGCAGTGCTGGTGGCACGCTGTGCTGGGGTCACACCGATGGCCGGGTGCATCCCACTCCYGTGGAAATGGGGCCACCCTGCACGGGAGAAGGGCCCTGGACGGTGCCAAGCGGTCCCAGCCCTCTGCTGTAGGTCGCCTTTCCTCTTTAGCCATCTCATGAGCTTTYTTTAGGCCAACTTGAGGCACACCGACATAAGCAGGACAGCAGCAAGCTGGAGCGGACACTGCCAGGCTGCAGAGCTCATTCCCAAGGAGAAGCCCGAGCTGGCACGAGTGACTCTCTCTCTGTTTCCTCCGCAGGCCTCCTGCCCTGAGCGGCAGCCCCGTCATCTCCGACATCTCCCTCATCCGCYTGTCCCCGCACGCGGCAGGCCCCGGCGAGTCTCCGTTCAGCCCGCCGCACCCCTACGTGGCCCCGCACATGGAGCACTACCTGCGCTCCGTGCACAGCAGCCCGACCCTCTCCGTCATCTCGGCGGCGCGGGGCCTCAGCCCCGCTGACGGTAAGAGCCTGGCACTGCCTTCGCCACCATCGTGGCTGTCCCCTTTCCTCTTCCCCTCGGCCTCCCTCCGCAGGGAAGCACGTAACCCATGTGCTTCCTGGGCCACAACCAGTTCCTGGCTCGGTGCTAGGGAAACGTCTTCTAAGCTACTTGTGTTGAAGCTATTTTGTAGCTCACCAGCACTGAAACTCCCTAAAACCGAGGGATTTACAGCTGTAAAGGCTCCACAGCTTCCACAGCTGCTCTCTGAAGTGGGAGCACTTTTTAGCTTTTCTTTTTTTTTTTTTTTAAAGTTAACTACACATTTGTTTTGCATCACTGCACTGAGAAAGCAGAGCGTGAGAATAGCTATTACCACCAGATCGTATTATAAATATTTTGCTTAAAGTATGTTTCTCTCTGCAGCATGCTCAGCTCTCTTACGCTGCTTCCCTGCTTTTTTATTCCTACTAGGAGCCTCACTCCCTTCTGAGCGGGTGACAGTTGTGCCGAGTGCTCCGTGTGGCTGTCACGGGCATCGGAAGAGATGAGGCAACCCTGGTTGAGCTCTTCCATGTTGGTGTTGGCCCGGCCGATACTACTGCTGCTGGGCTAGGCACTCTTATGCTGTTGGGTCCCTGTGCTGGTCCCTCCCTGCATGGCGTGATATCCTCAGAGAGAGGATAAACACAAACATAAAGCTCATCTAGAATGATTTCAGATGTACAGAGCTTTTTTTCTAAACGCTGAAAAAGATCCAGGTGAATTTTTTGGGATATGGCTGTTTTACACAAGTTGGGAATTTGAGCCGCAGTGTTTGTCGTGTTGGATGGAGCATAATTCTCCTTCAATGCATGGAGAGGTTTACCTCAGCAGACATCCAGCACCACGTGTGAGACGATGGCAACTGCTCTGCTCCCACTTGTGAGCATCTGGGCCTGTGCCTGGGGAACGGCCTGGGCCTGGGSACCCGGTCTCCTGCAAACCTGGCAGATCAAGGCGCCCCTCAGGTTCTCACCCACAGCAGAGGCAAGCGGCCCTGCTCGGTGGTGAACCAAAGGGCATCCGAGAACAAGGCGGCCCCCAGGGGCTGCGGTGACGGGGAGCTGCAAACGCCTCCTTTCTGCCCCAAAACGYGACCCTCATTTAGGGTGGTTCCTCCTTGCAGCTACACCAGGGCAAGCGTTCAAGTTCCCCTCCGCACGCAGCAGAGGGGTTGGAGTGTGAGCGAGCAAACGCGCTCCCCCGGCCTGCCCTTTCAAAGCGAGCTTCATTGTTTGGTATTAAAAGAAGCATTGTGTTTTGGGATGCTTTTTTTTAAATTTTATTTTTTTAAAGGGCTGTGGTAAATAAGTTAATGGGGGCGAGCGGGTGGGGGAGGCAGGTTTGAAAAATTACAGCTGGGAGAAAGTGAATGTAATTGGCTTTGGCAGCCAAAATGGTTTTATGCTGCCAGAYGCTAAACCTAGGTCTATGCATTAGACCTCGGCTTTAATTTCCCTGCCCCRCTATCGGGAACTGGGTTGCATTTGTCTTTCTTTCCTAATAGGCAGGGATGTTAATGGTGACAGGGTTACTGCTGCTGGCTGATTGGGCCCTCTTCCCCCTCCCCGGGGCGAAGCCGGCGTCCGTACGGAAGGATTATTAGAAGGGGGAATGAGAGATTGTTTATAAATGTGCGGAAATGGAGGAATGCGGAGGCCCCAGCTTCGCTGCTTTTGTCCACAGAAACACGCCCAAGCGCGCGTCACGAAACGCTAACGGGGCCGTCGGGACGGGGCCCGTGGGGGCGCGGGGGGAGAGCCGGGGCGCCCGCCGCGGCGCCGGGCCTCGCGCGCCGCCTCAACGCTCTCCCCATGTCTCTCTCCTCGCTCGCGCCTCGCGCAGCGGCCCACGAGCACCTGAAGGAGCGAGGCCTGTTCGGGCTGCCGCCGCCGGGAGCCAACCCCGCCGACTACTACCACCAAATGACGCTCATGGCGAGCCACCCGAACCCCTACGGGGAGCTGCTGATGCCGGCCGGGGGCGCCGCCGGCACCGCGCACCTCCACGATTACCTCAGCCCCGTCGACGGTGAGTAGCGGCCGGCACCCTCTTCCCCGCGGCGGCTCGTTTAAAATATATACGCTGTGGCCTTTAAAATGCATGCGTTGTGGCCTTTTGGGGAGGATAGGGAGGCGGCTGCCTGGTGTGGTGGGTATGGCGCTGCTGCTGGGCCGCGGGTGAGCRGGAGGGCGCCTCGAGGCACGTTCCTATGCTCCGCTTCTGCTTCCCATCCCGCCCAGGCTGCCTTCTTATTTAGACTGGCTCCCGTCTGGGGCAAGGACCATCTGTCTCACGTGTTATCCATGATATACACATACGCGTTATACATGGGCTCGGTATAGGAGACCCCGATCTTTTTGGGACCTCTCGGAGCAACTGTAAAACGAATCCCCGAAGGGGAAAACAATAACACTAATGGGGAGCTCCAGCGGAGAGGATGTCAGTGCCTCYGGGAAGAAAAAATTGCAGGAATGTTGTATTTATACTAATATCAGACATTACAAACCCAGAAAATTCTGGCTGGTGGCTAAACTAAGAAGAAACAAAGGCATGTTAGAACTTGCAATGCTGATTCACCCCCGCAGCCTGACCACTGTCCTGCTGTGATTGCTGCTATTTATGTAGAGTATTTGAGACATACAGATGATTTTTAGAAATTTCTTTTGATTTAAGCCATGTCTTCTAAGAAATGAGTTTGCGCAAATGCTACAGAGGACATCTTGGGGTTTATTTCTGCTGCTAAATAGAGGCATCTCAGCTGGACCATCACATCCCAGCTTCTGGGTCCTGGGCTGCCTCGACATTTGTCTGTGGGCAGCTGTGGTTTTCAAAGGGGAGATCTGCATCATTTTGTTACCGCTTCAAAGTTTCTGTTGTTGAGCTTTTAAGATGAAAGACTTTGCGGTCTTGGTACTTCGTAAAGTGACTGCTTTCAAATGATAAAAGCTGCTCTAGTTGTTCGGTGATAGGGACTTATAGATATTCCTAAATAAAAAGCAATTTCTTGTCTACAACTGCTGCAGAAGTTTTGCCTGAATAGTCATTTTCTGCCATGACTTTCTGGATTGATCAGGAACCAGTATTCTAGTCTAAAATGGAGAGCACGTGTTTTTTGGTAGTATCTTGCCTCAAATGTCTAAAATAYGTTTAGGATTTCTCTTCTAAAAAGCAGCTGTTCAGTAAGGCTGCTTTTTGTTGCTCCTCCAAGGGGTTAATCTAAACCCATAGGGGTTAGATGGGTGCAGATCATCTCTGCCAAGTTCTCCTCGGGCTCTTGACCAAGACTCCTTCCTCCCTGCCTCCTTATTAGTCCATCTCTGACCAGCAGTGCCTCGCTGAAGTGCCAGATAAACAGCCAGCAAGGGAAGAAAACACAACTGTTTTCATGCGATTGCAGGCTGGCTCTCAGCACACCAAGATGCCCGTTCCATAGTTTGCTGAACGTCGGTCTTTATCTGAAGTCTTCTGACATCTTCTCCTTGGCAGGAGACTCTCTTGCTACTTGGCTGCTCCTGAAACAGCACTGAAGTAAATCACAGAACAAAGGTCCCAGTTACGGGCAGGCACGCTCGTAACCATTAGTCATGTGGAGAGCAAGGGCTCGCCAGGCATTTGATCGTTTAGTAAAGCTTTGTTGATCTCTAACTGGAAAGCCTTTTCTGGGCATTCACGTGCTCTTAGTGAGATGCAAACATTTAAAGATGACGAAGATGTGACTTGAGATATCAGAAGGTTAGTTTTTGAAGATGTGAAAAGGAGCAGCAGGCTAGTGCAAGCCTCTGGCCTTCATGTTTGGTTTTACCCAGGGTTTTTGCTGTAATCGTGTCGCTGCTCTGCTTTATCTTCCTGCACTCCCCCAGACTGCTGCAGGTCCTGTGTCCGGCCCTGGTCCAGTGCAGAGTTTAAAAACATGTTTGAAGTCAGCGGAACTGAAGCACTGCTGTTTTCTGTTTTAGTGTTTCCTGATGTCAGGTCTGGACCCTGAGGCACTGGGCGGCATTACAGAGTTCAGGATTTTGCTGCTGGGTTTGATGTGTTATCTCCACTTTATCAGCCTGGCTGATAATAGAGGCCCAGTGTCAGTGCTGTACATAAAAAGAGAATAATGTACTACCAAGGCTGAGAGTAAAAGGGATGGCTCTGAAACTCTGCCTGAAGAATTGTCCTCTCCTGTTCTGTTTAGGAAGTTATATCAGTGCTTTAAATCAGTGGGGTCTAAGTAAATAGTTGGATGGGTAATTTAATAAAGCTTCTTCTTGTGGTGATTTTCTGAGATGAGATATCTATGGCATGCATAAAGCATCAGCAGGTCACTGGCACATAGCATCTCTCAGTCAGAGAGCTGTTTTCTTCCCARAGAGACTGAGACCTTAAGAAATTTACCCAAAGGATCATTCTAACAATTGCTGAAATGCAGGTAGTTCTTGCAGGGAGCACAATGGCTGTTAAACCACACGCAGCCCCATCACATACTAGGAAATGAAGAAGACAGATAGGCACGTGGTAAAAAAWTTGGGCTATTGAGTGTCATGTCACCACCAAGCAGGTTCACGTGGGAGCCCAAGACACTGCATGTAATGATTCTCCCACACTTACTTTAGCCCGTTTGGTTGCCCTCATTACATCTCTTGGAGAATCCCTCCATGACTCCTGTTTTCTCTGTGAWACCAGAGTCATGAGAAGTAGTAGGRGTCAGCTGGAACTTGTTTGTACCAATACTGTGTCAGGTCCTAAATGATGAGGAGACCTAGGTTAGGTGTCTTCAGCAGAGTTTTCACTGGGCAGCTATATCAGTAGTTAAACTCCCCATGGAGAGGAGACATGAGTTTTACATACTGAAGAGCGTGGGTCTTAGGGCCAGTGCCATTGAAAACTAAATAACGCTCAAACTAGCTGCCTTGTGCCTTGTTTCATGCTGTCATGCTTTTACATTTCTGCCCTTGAATTGAGTGCTGTATGGTGGATTACTCTGATGGACAAACTGGATGCACGGAGAGCAGCTGACTTCAGTTAAAAGATTGGTGGAAAGTGCAGAAGAACCTGGGGGCGACTGCTGCTCTCTGAGTATATTCAGTGCATCCAGATGTTTTTTCCTAAGTACAGTGGCTGGTGTCATTACCCTCAACCCTTCAGGGAGCACCATCTGCTCTTGAGAGGAAGGAATCCAGCTTGACTCAGTGATGAGCCCTGTACATCAGAAGATCTCAAAAACACTGTACAAAGCAAAGATATTCCACCCACAGAGACCTTGAAGAGAAAGGCATCAAATGATGTATTAGTAGAGCAGTGGCAGCTCTAGGGACAAGATTCAGATCTTCTGAATAAAGACTCTCATGACTGGGGCTGGAGGAAAAGCTTGTCTTTGAATCCATCACTTCTCTCTGCACAGTGCCAAAGCTGTCATTCAGTTGCCCATACTGAGTGAGGGCAGGGAAGAAAAAATCTTGAGTTGAAGTCATGTCCTAGCAGCCCAGCTCAAAGATAGTCCCTCGGGTCATGGTGTGTTTGTGCACTTTTACAGTTACCAGTAGCAGTAATTAAGCTGGGATGACCCTATAGTGCTGTAATAGCACTTCACCCAGTACTGGAGCTTGGGAGGGGGATTCCTGCCTTGTTGAATAGTGAAGATATATTCTAAAAAAAGAAATAAATAAATAAACCCTTTAGAAATGAATAATCTCTTGACTCGGGAATAGTAGTTTAGCTGAAAAAGAGCTTTATTCAGCCCAGGATAGCTAAATAGACCAATGGCTGGATGTTGTTTGAGCCTTTCTACATCAAGTAAATCATTTAATAATCATCGGGGCTGACAGTGCAGGTCAGTGTTACTGCAGTGAGCAGGCATGTGTGAGAGGTGAGCTCAGGACTTTCCTCTGGTGGGTGCATAYGAAGTGTCTCCACTCCATCAAGAGAGAGTGGAGGAAACCAGCCTCACGGTGGCCTGGAAAATAAGTCCTTTGCCTGGGGCTTGAGGGACGAGCAGCTCAGGATTTGCAGTCTGAGTTTGTTGGATCACACATGACTTCTCTACATGAGCCAGCTGTTGGCTACTCTGGGCAGACGGCGCGCCCTGTAGTCTCTTCCTTAAAAGCTCTCAGAGATCTTTTTTTGTTGTTTTCTTTGTCCCAGTACAGAATGGAAAATTGCTGAAATCCCAGAAAAGGTTCAGAGAATGGGAAACAATTTCCCACCCAGTTCTAGCCAGCAATTCTGTTTTTCTCCCCAGAAAAATATGTGCAGAATAGAGCAAACGGCCCAGAGCATCCCATAAGCGCTCTGTCTGCAGTCCCACTGCACTCTGGTTTCTAAAGAATTCAATTTACATATGCAAGTTGGGTCGTCTAAACAGTTACCGTGTGGGTTGGGAGTAGAAGAATGCAGCCTTGTCTTTCAGCAAGGATTTGGGGGAAGCATTAGTATTTCTTGAACTGTGAAGTCGATCAGGCCCCAGGGAGTGAAGAAAGAGGGGTCCCAGCACGGTGTCTGCTGCCAGAACAAATGTCCAGCATCTGCTGCAGTCTAAGCAAGACGTGTGTTGCCGCTGCAGAAAGGGAGAGAGGAATAAGGAAGGAGGTTGTGCTGAGATTGTTTGTAACTCGCTGCRGCTGCTCTTCGATGGGGGAATCGGCCCGTGCTTTTCATGATGTGTCTGCTGCTCTCGGGCTTGATCTGTTCACGGGAAGAGCGGGGGGTGTCTGTGTGCTTTGGGTGGGATTTGCTCGTGGGTGCYTGGTGAGTGGCCGTGTCAGGAGAGCGGCCGTGTTGGTGATGTTGTCTCGGTGCTGGAGTTTGGCCAGGGGATGCAGAGGAGGCTTCAACGTGGAGGCAGGGGCTGAGGCCCCCACAGCTCACGTGCGATGGGGCCTGGCTGTTTGGAGGCAGCTTCCTGCAACGCAGGTCACAGCAACACAGCCCTCTGTCAAGAGAGGGCCTGAAATTCCTGGTCAGGCTCATTCAGGAGAGGACAGCCTTGAGGATCTCCTAGCTGAGTGTTTGGGTTTCCTTGCAGAAGGGCTGTGCAGCCGCTG